GCCTCTCGTTGCGCTCCACGCAGTCCAGGATGTACTGTGTGGAGATGAAGTCACCCGAGGCCTCGGCCAGCGCTTCCCCAGGCTGGGCCAGCAGCACCGCCCCGGGCTCCTGCACCCGGCACACGGTGCCGCCGCCATGCAGGATCAGCGTCGAGAGCCGGCGCTTGATCGGGCTGGGCCGCACGTAGAACGACAGAGGGCTCCCGTCTGCCCTCACGAAGAGAGTGGAGGAATGAGTGGGCCCGTTGGGGTCTTTGCCCATATCCAACGCCTCCGCCATGTCTGACGCCCCGCACCGCAACAGCCGCCCCCTGACGAGCGCTTCCTAATGGAGCACTAGTTTGTTTGGTTGTTGGGGTTTTTTTTTTTTTGGTACCGGGGACCGAACTCCGGACTTGGCGCTTACGAAGCAGGCGGCGGAACCACAGAGCTAAATCCCCGGCCCGAGGACTAGTCACTGAAGCTGCTCTGACTGAAACTGCGCCGCCGTGAAGCTCAGCACTTGCGCCTGCGCGCCAGGAACGCCCGCCCTCCGCCCCGGAAGAGGCGGGGCTTCGGCCTTAACCCGGAAGTGGCCGTGCTACCCTGGTCACTCTCAGATCCCGCCTTTCGAAAGATGGCTACGGTGCAGGGGGCTGAGGTGAAAGTGGATGGCGAGCCGAAACTGAGCAAAAAGTAAGTGTCTTTGTGGGTCGTTAAGTCTTTGTGGTTGAAAAGTCCAGGCTGGGAAGTGCCTTGATCCTCGTGCCAAGACCAGGGTCCTTTCTGCCTGCGCTGGTGGGTGCGCACATGTTGAGACGCAGTGGCCGAACCCAGAAACTGCATCCCTAGGGATGTCCCAGGGGGGCGCCGGCGAGATCCCTCCCTCATCTTTGCTGCTGTAGGAGAATGCAGGAGAGAAACCGGTGCTTAGACCCGGGGCTGACAGGAAAGGAAAGTGAAACTTTTTCTTCTTCCTCCCTCTGAGAGATGCCTTCCTTTATGGAGCAGTCCCCAATGAGGAGGTTAGAGCAACTAAGTAGCTTTTCGTGTAAAGACCGTCAAGATTGTTCTGGCCTCAGCAAGGTCATTGCAGCCTCCTCATTTAAAGGGGGATCAGTTATAAAACTGTGTCGTGCACCAACCCATATGGATTGTGCAAAGGATCTGTGAGAAATGAGTGATCGCTGTCTATGAGTGGAGACCGTCATTTTCAGCTGAACACACCAAGCTGTCTGTCCTTAACCCTGCCGGGTGTGACTTTGTTAATCACCACCCCAAATCCTTGTAAGTGTGTAGGTGAACATAGATTAAGATTAGTCACCTTTAAACCGGTTGTGCTGGCACACGCCTGTAATCCCAGCACTAGGGAGGCTGAGGCAGAAGGATCTCTGTGAGATTGAGACCAGCCTGGGATACACAGTGAGTTCCAGGTCAGTCTCAACTAGTGAGACCCTGTCTCAAAAAACAAACAAACAAAAAAGACTAGTTGCCCTTTACTATGTCTTCTCTACTATATTACTTCAAACGGTATTTCTCTTTTGAACTATGGGACACAATAACTTGAGTATTTCCTCAGTGCTCCAGATGAGACATAATAGCACTCCAGAGGTACAGGAGAAATTCAGTCATTACATGCAATGCTGCTTTTAGTATATGAAGGTTTAATCCTCTTGCTGAACCCTGAGCAAATTGCTATAGGCACTCAGTGGATTAGAGTTCATTTTTCCTTGTGTCTCTAGGTTTATACTTAGTGTATTTTAGAAAAGTTACAAGAGAAATATCTAAAGTTACGTTTTTCTAACATCCTCATATGTGGGCCATCATTTTAGAGATCTTATGGATTTTCTCTAAGAGTTGAAAACACCCCTTTTTCTTCTTTTTTGGGGGAGTGTGTTTGAGATGTCTCAGCTATGAAATTCAGGCTTTGAATTCATGACAATCCTCCTGCCTCAGCCTCCCAAGTGCTGGGATTACAGGTGTGTTGCCACCACACCCAGTGGGAATATCTTTTATTTCTGGGTTTTTGTTTGTTGGTTGGTTTTTCAAAACAGGGCCTCATTATGTAGTTCAGGTTGGCCTTGAGCTCACTGTGTAGCCCAGGCTGGCCTCAAATTTAGAGTGATCCTCCTGCCTCAGCCTCCCATTGCTGGGGTTGCAGGTCATGCCACTAGCCACTACACCCAGATGAAAGTAATGATTCCTTCTGTTTCTTGATTGTTTCTGGAATTTCACTGATCTGATACCTTTAATGAACATTTTATGCTGCCAGAAATTGTCCCCAAATTTGAAACCAGATGAAGCTGGCTGTGGGGCACAAGCCTGTAATCTCAGCACTTGGTAGGCTGAGGCAGCTGGATTGCTTGTGAGTTCAAGGCCATCCTGGGCTAGACCTTGTCTCAAAAAAAAAGAAAAAAAGAAACCAGATTGGCAAAGTACTCATTCTTAAATGAAAGCTCCTCCTCAAATTTATTTGAACACAGAACAATGTGACCCCTGTAATTTGTTGTCTTCCACTGTTAATAAATGCAAAGTGGGGGCCAGGAATTTAGCTCAGGGGTGCCGCTGCCTGCCTCGCAAGCACAAGTTCAATCGCCAGTACCAAAAAAATAAATAAAAAGTGCTCTGAGACCATTCCTTTTCTCCTTGCTCTTAGAACTCTAAATGGTCTTGCTTCTGTTTGACTTAGAGATGTGTGGCTTGCATTTTTTCTTTCTTTTCTTTTCTTTTCTTTTCTTTTCTTTTCTTTTCTTTTTCTTTCTTTCTTTCTTGACAGGTTCTCACTTTACTACCCGGGCTGGTCTCAAACTCCTACCCTGTAGCAGTCCTCCTGCCTCAGCCTCCTAAATAGCTTAAACTATAGGCTTTTGCCATCACACCCAGCTTTAAGCCCTTGCTTTTAGCATTCTAAATAGAGATTGCATTTGACAGTGATGTTTTGCTTTACATGTTTTACATTGTCATCTCCTGTCCCGCTGTTTCATCTTCAAGAGAAACCATACTTGGTCAGGGCTTTGGAAACACTGCCTCACATTGTGTCTCCTATTTTGTAGAATGCTGTCATCATTTTCACCTGTACACTGTTGATTGACTTGCATTTGAGGTTTGTTTGTTTGTTTGTTTTGGAGACAGGGTCCCACTATATAGTTCAGGCTGGCCTCAAACTGGCAAACTGGCAGCAATCCTCCTGCCCTCTTAGCCTCCTGAGTGCTGGGATCACAGATGTGCACCACCACACCCAGCTTACATTTGGCTTTTTTTTTTTTTTTTGGTGCTGGGGACCAAACTCAGGTCTTTGCATTTGGGAGGCAGGCATCGACACTACTGAGCTAAATCCCTGGCCCTGCATTTGACTTTTTAACTCCAGAGGTGCACCTTCTTTCCATTGCTAGGACTAAGAATTACGTCAGGTACAGTCACAGAACAGTGTTAACAGGGTTCTGTTGATAATTTAAACAAGACACTAAAAGGCAGTGCAGATTTGCGTGGCTCCCCTCTTCTAACTCAAGAGTACAGGTCGGGTGGGTATATCCTGTCTGTCCCATCTGACACCCATCTCTGTTTCCTGCTAGGTCGTGGTAATCGTTAGCTCCAGGGTGTTCTGCCATGTTGATACAAGCTGCTCTAAGGCTTGTTAGGGGGTCCCTGCACCAAACCTGGGCAGAATGGGGTCAGAGGGAACTTCGACTGGGTCAACTTGCTCCTTTCACAGCGCTTCACAAGAACAAGGCACTCTCTGATAAAAGAAGGTTGGTGCCCATTACCATTATTGCTCTGGGAGCAAAAATCTTTCCTTCCTTTATTCAGTATCTGTTCAGCCCCAATCAGTCTATGGACTTGCTGCTAAGAGCACAGAGTTCTGCCAAAACCAATAGTTCCTTCTTACTTTCTCTTTATACATTCAAATCTTCTCTCCTTAGAGTCTTAAGATGACTTGGATTTTATTCCGGAATAGTGTTCAGAGAATAACCTTTTGTTTTTGGTTTTGGTTTTTTGGTAGTACTGGGGATTGAACCCAGGGCCCTCACACTGAGCTACATCTCTGTCCTTTTAAGTTGCCACATATTTCAGGCAGGGCTTGAATTTGCAATCCTCTTGCCTCAGCCTCTAAGAGAATGCTGGGATTACAGGTATAACCCTGCCCAGTTTGAATAAAGAATTTCTCATGCCAACTGTTTTTCCTTTTTTGCCATTTTAGGGATGTCTTTGTTCTCAGTTCTGGTTTTAGTGCTATACTTATAACCTGATGAGACTATCTTTAAGACTAATTTGATTTAAAGCAACTTAACTATTACAAGACATATTTTATCTAGAAGGAATTGCCTGCTTTGAAGCCACTAGAATTAGTTTTTCTCACTGAAAGAATGATGAATGATTTGAATCTCAATTAGTTGTTTAAAATAATTCTAAACTCATATTGAATATGGAGGGTTGGGCACTGTGGTGCACAACTGTAATCCCAGCCCTCAGGAAGCCAAGGTAGGAGGATCACTGTGAGAAAATGGAAGGTGTACCCTAAGGCCAGATAATACCCACACATAACATCTTTTGCCACAGTTCACTATTGCCAAATACTCAGTTATCACCAGCAGTTTGAAATAATGATCTATAAATTCTCTGAATAATGAGAATATTTCTCTCTCTCCCCAAATGTCTTGTTTCTGAGTTCAGATAGCAAGTTCAGATCATAAAGGATACTGAGTTGTCCACATCAATTTTGTTTTTTAAGTGTTGTTTAACAAGTATCAAGAGATTGTGGGCCAGGGATTTAGCTCTGTGTTGCCGATGCCTGCCTCACAAGTACAACATCCTGAGTTCAATCCTGAGTTCAATTGTTTGTTTTTTTGAGACAGGGTCTCACTATATAGTTGAGACTGACCTGGAACTCACTAGGTAGCCTAGGCTGGTCTTGAACTCACAGCAATACTCCTGCCTCAGCCTCCCAAGTGCTGGGATTACAGGCATGTGCCACCACACCTGGGGTTTTCTTTTACTTTTTTTTTTTTTTT